TTGGATACTCTGGTGCCAAGAGGTTTGAATGAAGAAATTGACTGGCTGTGTGTATGATAGACTTGGCTATTTTTTCAATTGAGACGTGCAAGCAGGGTGATGCAATTTTCCTCTCTCAGGTGTTGCTGATTACCTCTGTGTCATTTTTTCATCCTCTCTCTTTCTCTCTCCTGTTGCATCATATTTTCCATATATTCAGGGGGGTGGACTACTATGGTGCTGATTCTTTTCTAGTTGAACCTGAGCACTCCATTGGAGCCTTGAACATTGCAGATTGGACCTAAAAAGGTAAATATTGTACCATTTATTGGTTTTTTCCCAGTAAGCTACATCTTTCTTCTAAAATAATTAGGAGATTTTTTTTTAATTTGCAGTTGTTAAGTTACATGTTTTGTCTATTTCAGATCCATGAGCAAATGAAATATTTTACATCTTGATGAGTTTCCCATGTTTTTGCTAGTCTTTAAGGTGCTACTGCTCTTTTCTATTGCTACAGACCAACTAACATGGGCTGCGGACACACGGAGCATTTGCCGCGCTGACGATACGGATGATAGGTGGATATTACGGGCGCAATCACACCGCAACATCTGGGAAGTGTAGAGCTCCCATGGCTAACCCGAGGCTTCCCGCCGAAGATGCGGAGTAAAAAACTAGTACCTCCGAGGTCCTAGTTTCCAGAAGCCGCGGGGCAAGGTCGGGCGTCTGATTGCGTTTCCGGTGGACTTACGTGGCATTCGGCGCCCACCGCTGTTCGTCGCACACAAGGGGGGGGGGTTGTCTCCCAAGTCTCCGCAGGTTGCGCAACAGCGCCCAACAGCGCATGCGCACAAAGAGCAATTGCTCGTGCGATCGCGCGGCACGGCTTCTGCAGGATACCCGTCTGGTCGGCATCTCCCCCCTAACCACGGGACCTCGACCGGGACATGTGCGCGGGAGGCCGCGCATTAGTTTCCTCCGGGGCAATTAGCCACGCCTCCCCCCCATATCCGGCCCATGTGACCAGGGCCCATGGCTACCCATCTTGATCTATCACCACTGAGGAAGGCTTATTGCCGACATACATATTGATTTTTGCATATGAAAACATTATGTACCTTTTAACCTGCATTCATATGAATGGACATTTGTCTTCATATTGGGATTAGGTACTTATATATTTAACCATAGGACTGTTGTTTTTAAATGATATCTTAGCACTAGTGATTGATTATTAAGTTATACATTATATTTTGTACATTTGCACAGTTATATCTTACTTTCTTTTTCTTTTTTCCAACCTTTTTGGTTACCTTTCCCATCCCATGCAGGGTTGTGTCTTTCTTTTTGGTTGTACTCAGCTTTATTGTAAGCTGCCTTGAGCCATGCGGAAAGGTTACGATTAAAATGTTCTCATAAAATGCCACCTTTCCATGCCAGCTACTTATCTACTGAAAAAAGATAAACATTTACTCTCCATCTTGTGAAAATATAATGTTTACCAAAGCAGTTATCAACCCTTTTTTTATGGAAAGTTTTGGACAAAGATTTCAAGAAATACTGTCTGTGTATGGATATCCCTACAAATCAGATGAGGACATCCCCTCTCCAACCTTCTCCTGTGCAGAATCTTGGAGAAGGCAAGAAACACAATTCTACTTTCTCCAGACCTCAGCACAAGTCCACTCTGCATGCCAAAGGGCTTGAAGGGACAGAGGGAGCGGCAAGCACAAACAGAGCCAAGCCAGGCCCCCTGTTTAACTATAGCAACCAGTTAATTCGTAACTTGAACAGAAACACAAATCACAAAATGGGAAACTTGATTCAGTTGTTAAATTGTTATCTTCTATCAATAAATTAACAACTACTTACCCTGAAGGAAAGCAACATATACAACATGCCCCCTTCTATCTTGAAATCTATTTATTTAAATATATACAGATATAGCTGGAACCCCAGGCTGGAGCTACAACAGAGATGCTGATGTAGTTTTCTCTGGAAGACTATACCATAACTTCAAAGTGGCCTATGGCAAACCCCACAACGAATTCTATGTAGCCCATTCCTCACCCCCACCCCAATCTTCTTCATTCAACCAATCAAAAAAGGTTCAAGCCACCTCTGTGCTACACCTCCAACCCCTACAGCAGATCTCAAATGCTTCAATAGTAGCAAGAGATCAACCACATCCAAGTATCTGATAGGCCCATAGGGAACACTAGGAGACCCTTACTTGGCTGTAAATGAAGACTGTCCAGCAGATCTACCAAAACTGTCGCTGTTCCAAAGCCAGGTCTGACAACAGAATTTAAACAAGGTCAAGAGCAGAGGTGTTATCAGATGGTTCTGCAAATGCTAAGCCACCACCCCTTCAATAATCTTGCCCCCAGAGTTCAGATTCGAAAATGGGCCTATAGTCACCGATAAAGTACAGGCGTTTTCTATAAAAGGTCTCCTAGCAACTTAACTGGTGAGGGGTTCACAAAAAAATCTGGTTCCAACTGCCAAGCAACAGATATTTTAACAGAGAAGAAGAGAAGAAGAGTTTGGATTTATACCCCGCCCTTCACTACCCAAAGGTGTCTCAGAGCGGCTTACAAACTCCTTTCCCTCCACCTCCCCACAACAGACACCCTGTGAGGTAGGTGGGGCTGAGAGAGCTCTGACAGACTGCTCTTTTTCAAGGACAGCTCTTATTAGAACTACGGCTTGCCCAAGGTCATCAAGCAGGTGCAAGTGGAGGAGTGGGGAATCAAACCTGGTTCTCCCATTTTAGAGTCCACGCACTTAACCACTACAGCATCTCTTTACACACAAATGGCAAAGCATATTTAACAGATCATTCAATGGAGAAATTATTTATGACCAATATATTACATATATGAACATATGAAACTGCCTACACTGAATCAGACCTTTGGTCCATCAAGCTCAGTACTGTCTACTCAGACTGGCAGTGGCTCTCCAGGGTCTCAGGCAGAGGTCTTTCCCATCACTTACTGCCTGAACCCTTTTAAGTGGAGACAGGCCCTAAGCCAGGATTTTGTGGCTTGTGGGGCAAGTTTTTTCCTGGTGGGGCTGAAGTTCTCAATGAATAGGAAAATCTCCCCCAGCCCCCCCCACTTTAAGCAAATATGACTCTTTCACCACCACCAGTCAGTGTTCCCTCTAAGCTGAGTTAGTGTGAGCTAGCTCATAGTTTCTTAGCCTCCTCCAGCTCACAGATTTTCGTCCGAGCTCAGGAAGGATGGCTCCAGAGCAAACTAACTTATGCAGTAGCCAAATTGCTGGCTCACAACTTTAATGCCAGTCCACCTGTCAATTTTAACACTGTCAATTTCGCTTCTTCCTCTGAGTTTTTTCCTCTGCGTTATACACAAAGGGAAGATATTGTTGCTTCCTTTCACTGTATGGAAGAAAAGGGAAGGCAGCATTGGCAAGGACAATGAAGGGACCAAACTGTATCCTGCCTTCATCCATTTCTCCTACAAACCGACTTGCCCCAGTTAGTCCACAACCATTTTGGAAAGTGGACCCTGTGGCATTATACCCCACGGAAGCCCCTCCCCTCCCTAAACACCACCCCTCCTCAGGCTCCACCCCCCAAATCTCCAGGTCGTAGTAGTTTCGTTATTATGGTCTTAAGACCAACATACAGTGTAAGCATAATATGTGAGGGAGAGAAAAAAAACAACACAGTCATAATATACAAAAATAGAAATCTGAATTTAAGAACTTTTAAAATGCGATTCCCGCAATCTAAGAATGAATACACAGCGACTGAATGTGTAATCTCTGCATTCTTATCTGATGGAGCCAGTGAAGCCTTGCTTTGTTTGTGTTAATGTGCCCAAATCTCCAGGTATCTCCCAACCTGGAGCTGCCAACCCTACCAGCAAGCCCCCTTTCCCGCTGCAGAGAACCAGTGTTCTCTCTAAGCTGAGTTAGTGTGAGCTAGCTCACAGTTTTTTAGCCTCCGGCTCACCCCTTTTTGTCTCAGCTCAGGAAGGAGGGCTCCGGAGCAAACTAATTTATGCAATGGCCAAAGCGCTCGTTCACAACTTTAATGCCAGTAGCTCACCAAGTAGAATTTCTGCTCACAAAACTCTATCACTTAGAGGGAACATTGGTGGTGAGGTTGAAGGGGGTGCTGCCCCCAGCCGAGCAGGTGAGCTGGACAGAGGCAGTGGAGCAGAGGGGGCAGGAAAAGGCTGCAAGAGGAAGCGGAGACCAGTGGGAACAGGGATTTCCTCTCCCCCACAAATTCCTGGAAGGTCCCCGTTTTTTGGAGGTATTACTCTATGGCACTGGTGGATCATCCATAGCCACAGATCTCTGTGGTTGTGTACACATCAGGCAAGCAATATTGTAGTTTTATAGTCTTCTTGGAGGCACATGTGTCACCTTTAATGTGGTCTGACAGGCCATGAACCACAAGCCAAGAGCCAAAGGTCAAGAGAACCCACCGTCGAGATGCCGGGGATTGAACCTGGGACCTCTTGCGTGCCAAGCAGAGGCGTTACTCCCGGCCACAACTACACGTAACTTGGAAAGCGGGAACGATGCAGCCGAGCCTGCCCGGAGCAAGGACCCCAATTCCCGACACAAGCCGCCCCCAGCCAAAGCTCGCGCGTCGCCGGCAGCCTGCCGCTGTGCCGAGTTGCACCGAAAGGCGGCGGCGGCGGCGGGGGGGGAGGACGGCACCAAGGGGTTTTCCTTACCCCCACCCACCCAACTGCGAGTGCGGCAGCTCAGAGCAAGCAGGGGCCCCTTTCTTCTGACGGCCAAGCGCAAAGCCGAGGGCGGCATGCCGCGTCCTCCCGGGCCCGCAGCCTGAGGGCGCAGGAATCCGGCCCGGGGTGAATTCCGCGCATTGTTCTCCAGCCCAGGAGGACCGTTGGCGGCCGCCAGGCAGGGAGGGAGGGAGGCCGCCCGCTTGTTTCCCTCACCGCCGGGAGCCGGGCGGGCAATGCCCAGACGGCCACAGCCGCCGCCGCCGCGCCCAGGCAGCTGGGACTCACCGAGGGACGCAGATGGGCGCGGAGCCGTCCATTTCCCAGGCCGCGAACAGAGTCATGGGCACCGGGTCGCCCGAGGGCGCCGCCGCCGCCCCGCTCGGGGGGCCTCCGCGGGGAGACTCCGCCGCTGCCGCCGCCATCGCTCCGGAGCGCCAGGCCAGACCCCGGGCAGAAGCAGAAGCCGCCGCTCGTCGCCCTTGGCAACGCCCCCGCGGCCGCTCATTGGGCGAGAGGGCGGCCAAGGTGCGAGACGTCACGCGGGGAGGCGGGGCCGCCGCCGCCGCGCGCCACCTGCACGGCCGGCGGGACGCGTGCAGCGTCGGCACGTGTGAGTGCGCCGGCTCGCGCGGGAGGGAGGCAATGGGGGCACGGGAGGCACGCGGCCGCGCGCCGCACTGGTCTGCCGAGGCAGAGGGGAGGAAGACGGAAGGGCGCGGAAATCTCGGCCTGGAGAGGCTGCAGGGAAGGAAAGGCGGGCAGAGGCTGGGAACCCCGACGGCGCCGCCGTTGCCTCCGGCCGCGGACTTCTCCGCTGCCCTCCGGCCCGCGTGGAGGAAAAGCTGCACGCCCCTCGGCCAGAGAGAGTAGCGCGGGAGGACCCGGAAACCGGCGAGACGCTCGGCGGCGCAAGAAGAGCTTCCCGGGAGGCGGTCGACGGCGCCCATCTCGCGGGCTGAGGCGCGGAACGTGAGGACGGGGAGTCGCTGGGGAGCCGAGCCCCGCGGAAGTCGGACAGGAAGCCGGGGTCGG